CCACTACCTCCACCACCTCCACCGCCTCCACTGCCCCCACCACCACCATCCCCTCTGCCACCGCCACCACTCTTGCCACCCTTGCCCTTGCTGCTGCGGCGCTTCCCACTAAGAGCAGAAGCAGTCCCGACATCCTCAGTGCCTAGGATGTCAACAGCAGCAGCAGAAGCGTAGGAGGGGGCAAGGGGGGAGGGGGAACACCCCTCAAAGAAGGGTGTGCGAGGAGTGCCACGAGCAGCATCTACAGTGACTACGATAGTCTCAGCTGCAAGGAGGTGCTGCTCGAGCAGGTCGACAGTGAGGTCAGTGGGGTCAAGTGCGAGAAAGTGGTCCCTAGCAGCGCGAAGAGAGTCAGGGAGGCGGGTGACTATGCAGTAGAGAGTGATGTACATCGGAACTCTGCTGGGAGGGCAGCGCGGTAGCGAGCGTCACTAGTGCTGAGGTGGGTAACGAGGTCCTCGACTGTGGCAAAGGCTGACAGCTCGGGAAACAGGTAGGGCAGTATAAGACGGTCTAGAGGAGCAGTGGCAGGGGGGGAGTAACGAGCGACTACAACGTCGTACAGTGCTTTAGCAGTCTTGTGCTGGCCAAAGTGAGCTCGTTCGGCTAACGGCAGGTGGTTGCGAACGGCTAAGCGAGCAGCAGCGTCACGCGTAAGCCACTATGAGCGAGTCGCACTGTCAGCTATGGCGGGAGGGGCGAGAGAGGCTCCATAAGTGTGGTCAAACAACGAAACGCTGTCTCTAGAACCGCTCAGTAGGTACAGCTGTAAGTCATCGAGCCATGTATCGAACTGGATCGGACGGCCCTCATGATCGAAGGTGAGTACACTGAGAGAAGCCATAGCGACCAGAGCAGGGTGGCGCGCTACCAGGAGAACAGCACGCAGGCAGGGCGGCGCGAGAGCACTAGGGAAGCGCGCAGGGCAGGGCAGGGCGGGCAGCAGCTGGGCGGGCACGCGGGCTGCCAAGGGGCGGCGAGCAGGCTGCAAAAGGGCAGCGAGCGGGCTGCCAGAGGGCGGCTAGCGGGCTGCAAAGGGGCAGCAAGCGGGCTGCCAGCGGGCGGCGCGCGGGCTGCAAGGGGCGGCAAGCAGGTCGCAAGGGGCGGCTAGCGGGCTGCAAGGGGCGGCGCGCAGGCTGCAAGAGGGCGGCTCGCGGCCTGCAAGGGGCGGTGAGCGGGCCGCAAGTGGGCGGCGAGTGGGCCGCAAGGGCGGCGAGCGGGCCACACGCGGGCGGCGAGCAGGCTGCAAGCTGGCGGCGAGCGGGCTGCAGGGGCGGCGAGCGGGCCGCAAGCGGGCGGCGAGCAGGCCGCAGGGGCAGCGAGCGGGCTGCAGGGTCGGCGCGCTGGCTTCAGGGGCGGCTCGCGGGCTGCAAGGGGCGGCGAGCAGGTTGCCAGAGGGTCTGCGGGCTGCAAGGGGCGGCGAGCGAGCCGCAAGTGGGCGGCGAGCGAGCCGCAAGTGGGCGGCGAGCGGGCTGCAGGGGCGGCGAGCGGGTGGCGAGCGGGCTGCAAGGGCGGCGAGCGAGCCGCAGGCGAGCGGCGAGCGGGCTGCAGGGGCGGCGAGCGAGCCGCAAGCGGGCAGCGAGCGGGCTGCAGGGGCAGCGAGCGGGCTGCAGGGGCGGCGCGCTGGCTGCAGGGGCGGTTCGTGGGCTGCTAAGGGCGGCGCGATGGGCTGCTAAGGGCGGCACAGCGGCCAGCAGGGCGGCGCGCTGTTAGGGCAGGGCGGCTGGGCAGCTAGTGGGGCAGCTCTGTGGTGGGCCCTAAAAAAAAAATTCGGTCCTAGGGAAGGACCTGCTTTGAAACCATGTCTGAACTATGGAACGAGAATGATAGATTGAACAAAAAGCTGGGTACAAGTACTAACCCTAATTGGGTTGTATCTCTTATGGGCTACCCCACTATAGCCTACACAATATAAGCACTATATAAGTTTGACAGTCAGTTAACCCATTCATGGTGACCCATACAAAGATGCCCTGCACTCGGGGGACACCCAAAATGCAAGACACATGCTGATGCCAGCCAGAGCTTTCATATTCTCTTTATGCTACTAACAGCTTGCGGACAGTAGCAGAAGTGGTAGCAATCCTCTGACATCTCAGTGATCCAATCCACATAGTCGTCCCATGAACACTCCCCTGTATTACCTGCAAACTCCTCAGTATCATCCCTTAGTGTGCACACTGTTATCTCCTCCTCATCAGATAAAGTAATCCCCGGTTGCCCAACCCGACTCTGGCTGTCAGAAACGATAGGTTCGGCAGAAACAGGCTCGGCAGTGACAGGCTCTGCAGTGACAGGCTTGCCAGCGATAGGCTCAGCAGCAACACGCCCTGTTGCGATAGGCTCGGCAGTGTTATGCTCAGGTCCAGCAGCAGTAGACTCTCTTGAGACAAGCCGTGGCTTTGAACACATCAATCGAACAAAACTCCCTGTCAACCTAAACTCGCCGTCACCCTCTGCTTCACTTCCCACCCTGCGTGGCTCGATCCCTGCTCTCGTAGCCTGCCCGTTTGCCCCACTACCCAACTGCTGGAAGGCCCTAGTACCCAGCTGCCGCTCGCCTTGATTCCCCCCCTTTACAATCACAGACACCTGCATGGTGTCGGCTTCTGGTATCAGCTCCAGCACCACCCGTCCCCCCGCGTTCCGCCTGCTCATCGTTCCCAGCATCCCTTGCCATGCATCTGCTGCTTCCGCCATTATTACCACTGCCGGCGCTGCGCGAGCGATTTGCCTTGATCCTATTTCCGAGTCCTCCCCCCTCGCCCCGTCCTCTTGCCCCTCGCCAGCACAGCTGCTCATTTCCTGCCCACCACAGCCAGTGCTATTGATAGGCCCGTCTTCATGCCTAGTCGTAGCTGGTGTAGTAGTCGCGCTGCAGCTTGTTGTGATCCTACCCACGTCTGTCTCGTCATGTCTCCGCGTCCTGCTCGTATCGCCCCACCCTGTTCCTGATTCTGCAGGGGAAATACGTTCCCCGTGTCTCTGGGGCGTTGATGGTTGAGGAGTAACAGCCGCGGAAGCTGGTGGTGTGGGGAAATCCGCGGAGGTTGATAAGGGGACGGCTGCGCGCAACTCCTGCTGCAGGCGCAGCAGCCGCTTCCGCCGGCGCGCTAGCGTCTCGGCTGACACGAGCGCCGCGTCGGACCACGGGCCGAACCGCACGACGATGCGCGCGACGCCGGCCGCTGCGGCGGTAGGGAGCAACGAAGCGAGCCGCGAGTCGGCAGCCGCAACGCATAAGGCCGCGGCGCCTGAAGCTCGGTCGAGAGGGGACGTGATCGCAAACGGTGCGACGCAGGCGAACAGGCTAGACGAAGTACCACTGACGATAGGGCTGTTACCATCTTCGCACGATACTAGCTCTGCTGCTACTAATGTCGTTGTTGGATGTATGCACACCGCGACAGCGGCACCACTTTCGGCAGAAGGCCTGAAACATGGCAGTCCTTCCAGCAGAGCTTCAAGTCCTTTCTGAGACCGCGACTTAAGGACGGAGGGTCCACAGACGCAATATGCCGACTCGGGATCGGCTTCGGAACATTCCGACTTGGCCGGACTGCGCGATGCCGCTACGTGCGTGAAGTTGGGTTCGTCGTCCCACTTTTCGTAGTCATTAGCCGTGAATGGCGATAGACAAACATTAAAGGACGCGTTTTTTGTGGGATTAATGCCGCAGCTGGAGCAACGAAACATAGCGGCTAATTCGCGGCAGTCGCGCGCGTATCCTAAGGAAAAATTACCTACACGTTTATGCTTCACATTTTACACAACTAATGAAGAGAAGCCGTTGAATCGCTTGTGGGTTGGAAAAGAAGATTGATGGATTGATTGGAAAAGAAGCTTTGCTTCGTGCGTTGTTCCCCACGCAAACGCAGCGAAGTGAATAAGTGGCTTCGCGAGAGATGGATGGGTTACCGAGGACGTTCGTTGGCTGAGGAAGGAGCGAGTAAAGTAAAATATTGGGCTTGACGAAAAATGGCGAGAGCTGGGTAGGTTAGCGAGGAGGTTCGTTGGTTGAGGGCAGAGCGAGGTGAATATTGGGCTTGGCGAAAATCGGGCGGGTGGTGCATTCAATTGGAGCGCTGACAGAGTCGCTGCTGGTGGCGCGGTGTGGCACCCTATGTCGCACATGAGACGAGTCTCGTGAAGCTACGTTGGCTGAATCATTTCGTGAATGTAGGGGGGGGTGCCAATGCCAATTCCACTGTCTAAGACCAGAAGAGTTTGATTGGTGGGGAACAAGCGGATGTACGATTCGGCACGTCAAGATGGGTGCGACCAGAATGTCCAGATTCAATGCGGTTCGGCATAGATTTCTCGAGAATTTGTGCGGTGAATTCTGGTTTAGAGGTCACAAAATGCTTACTGTGCTGGCATGGCAGTCACGATGGGGATGCTTCACATCAATATATACAGGGGATATTTACAGGGGATATACACCTGGCGTGTTGGAATGACCTGGGAGCTAATGCCAACTGGTGTGACGCTTCACATCAATATCTACAGAAAACCTGCACATTTGCTTCATGACTCATGAGGCTGCTTTTGCCTTTACATGCACCAGCAGCTTCCTTAAATCAAATCAGCTACTCAATTCAAACAATCACAAAGCATAGTCAATCTCCCCCACTTCCCCCCCATCCCCCCCCTCCCCCCCCAACCATCATGAGTAGTCCTGCGGTGTCTCCCTTATAGACAGCTGCCTCCTCTCCTCCCTGAGCGACAATTGTTTCTGAGCTAGAGAGCTTTGACCGCCCCCTACCTTCTGCCACCTCCTTCCACTACCCAGCCCCCCTCCTCCTCCCACCCCTCCTCCTACACCACTCTCACTCCCTCCCTTTGTCGTACTCGTGTTGTTCTCACTAGAAAACCTTGTGAGTATTGCCCCCCCTCCACTCCCCAGACCTATTCCCCCTACCCCTCCTCCCCCCACCACCCCTCCTACTCCTCCTCCCACCCCACCGCCCGCACCAACACCAGAATCAAATCCCGCCATATCAAACAGCTCCAGCACCAGCTGCAACGCGGTTACCACCTCCGACATGCGCGGGCGCTGCTTGGCCTTGCAGGTGAGGCAGTCCCGCGCTACAGCCGCCGCCATCTGGGCGCCCTTCACGCTGTAGCGGCCCGATAGGGCCGGGTCCATGATTCGGTAGAGCTTGGAGGGGGAAGCTAGGAAGGGGGCTGCCCACTCTGCCAGAGACTGTTCCTCCTTGGGCCTGTGACGGGGGAGAGGGAATGGAGAGGGCCGGGTCCATGATCCGATAGAGCTTGGAGGGCGAAGCTAAGAACGGGGCCACCCACTCTGCTAGAGACTGTTCCTCCTTGGGCCTGCAGTGGGTTTGGGATCGGGGTAGGAGGGAAAGAACGAGGGGAAGAGGGTGGGGGATGGAGAGAGCAGGGTCCATGATTCGATAGAGCTTGGAAGGGGAAGCCAGGAAGGGGGCTGCCCACTCTAGCGTCTGGTGTAATCCCCCTCGCAAACCTCTTGCAAAAGAGTGGCAAAGGAGTGGCTGTAAGGACCCCCACCCTCGCTACAGTGGTGGCTGTAGCGGGCGGGGACTGCCTCACTGACTCTTGCAAGGGAGTGGCAAAGGTGTGACTGCAGTGGCAAAGGTGTGACTGCAGTGGCAAAGGTGTGAATGCAGTGGCAAAGGTGTGACTGCAGTGGCAAAGGTGTGACTGCAGTGGCAAAGGTGTGACTGCAGTGGCAAAGGTGTGACTGCAGTGGCAAAGGTGTGACTGCAGTGGCCCCAGAGGCAAAGGAGCTCCCAGTGAGATAGTGCTTCTCCTCCATTACCTCGCAACAGCTGCCACTAGAGCAGCAGCAGCCGCTGTCACTGAGGAGGTGGGCCGGATGAGGCAATCTTTTGCTTGCGCACACAGTCTTACAGAATGAGCTCAAGATCTACAGGTACAGCTACGAACACGTTAAGTTCCAGTGTCTGACTTGGGTTGACTTGCATTGACTCACGCATGGCACTGACTTGGGTTGAAAAGTGCTGACCTTGTTTTAGCTTGACATGACTTGCTTGGTCGTCGTGAGCTTGCTCGCCTTGAGTTGACTCTCACACAAGCATTGACTCGCCATGACCGCCATTGAACCCCCCATTAAACGCAATCGCGTTTACCTGCGTTGACCTCTCTGTTTATCCACCTTGACTTGTCAATAGCCAGTCGGCCAATCATCAGCTCCAGCAGCAGTACAGACATGCTCGCATGGGCTCATCAAGAATTGAGTCACCTTGGCTTATCAAGAACCAGTCGGCCAGTCATGACAACAGCAGCAGCGAAAACTCGCGTTGACAATCGTTGACTTGTAATGGCCAGCATTGACCCACGCTGACCCACCTTGACTTGTCTAGAGCCAGCCGCCCAGCCATGAGCTCCAGAAGCACCACTCCAAAGGCGTACACGTCACTCTTCACCGTCAGATGCCCCGTCAGCACGTATTCCGGTGCCGCATAGCCCACAGTGCCCACCACCTGCATCAGGAGGGAGGAGGAGAGGCGAGGGGGAAAAGAGAGCATGAGGGTTCTGAGATGTCACGTCCCTCTTCACCGTCAGATGCCCCGTCAGGAGCACGTACTCAGGGGCCACATAGCTCACTGTGCCTACCACCTAGGGGGGCGGGGAGCAGGGGGGAAACAAGGAATATAGGGCAGGAGGGTTATGAGACGTCACAGAGGCATACACGTCACTCTTCTCCGTCAGATGCCCCGTCTGTCAGAATGTTGTATTTGTCTAGCCTGCAGTGGGGTACTCTATAGCGAGTACAGCCCAATCTAGGGTTTCCTATATGTACTCAACTGCTTGCTAGTGAACCTCCCTCCTTTCTTCATTCTTTCTTTCTACTACTAGTTCTGACATGCTATCAGAGCAGGTCGATCCCCTTGGGTCGATCCTGTGGGTGGGCCCACCACCTCACTGCTTCCGCTGCTACTGCTACTCTGTGTGTTGCACGCCCCGTGGCGTGCGACGGATTTTTCATCCCGCCGCGCGCTCGGAGCGTGCGGCGGTTTTCTGCCCGCCGTGCGCCCCGAGGCGCGCGGCGGTTTTCTGCCCGCCGTGCGCCCCGAGGCGCGCGGCGGTTTTCTGCCCGCCGTGCGCCCCGAGGCGCGCGGCGGCTTTCTGCCCCGTCACTCCGCGCGTCGCTCCCGGGAGGCGCTGCGACGGGCGACGGGGGCCCGCGCGTCGCCCCCCGTCGCCCGTCGCGGCCTGCGCGACCTGCGTAGGGCCCGCGCGCGGCCCGTACAGCCTGCGCGCGGCCCGTACGGGCTGCGCCAGGCCCGCGCGCGGCCCGTACGGGCTGCGCCAGGCCCGCGCGCGGCCGGTACGGGCAGCGCCAGGCCCGCGCGCGGCCCGTACGGACTGCGCCAGGCCAGGGCGCGCCTCGGGCCGCCCGCACGCGGTTCGTACGGGCTGCGCCAGGCCCGTGGGCGCCCTGTTTTCTCTGCCCCTGCGCTGCCCGCTGTCCCCCGTGCTTCTGACGGCGCCCCACCCCTGCTGCTGCCCGTTCTCCTGAATTAGGGTTTGGGGGTGGGGGGTATGGGGGTGCAGTTTCTGTGCGTCGTCCCCTACTCCTCCTCCTCCTCCGTCTCCCAGTGCTGCAGCTGCCGCTGAGGGGGGTGGGTGTGTGGGAGCCGAAGGAGTGGTACTAGGGGGGTGGCGTGCAAGTGGAGTTAGGAGTGAAGCAGTGGGTGTGTGGGGGGTGTGTGGGACAGTTGGAGGAGGTTGAGTGGAGGCTGCTGTCTTGTCGTCCGCAGCACCTGTAGTCCGGGGCGCACTGTCCTGGTAGCTCAGAGAGCCTGCTGCACCTGTTGCCCGTGGGTCCGTTGCTCCTGCCGCTCGTCGCAGCCGCAGAGCCTGTTACTCCTGTATTCCGGGACGCACTGTCTCGGTAGCCACTGAGAGCCTGCTGCACCAGTCGCCCGTGGGTCCGTTGCTTCTGCCGCTCGTCGTAGCCGCAGAGCCAGTTACTCCAGTATTCCGGGGCGCTCTGTCTCGGTAGCCACTGTGTCAGCCGCCACTGTGTCAGCCGCTTCTGTTGCCCGTGTGTCTGCAGCTTCAGTCGTCGCCTCCCATCTTCTCTCCTTTCATAGTCCCTCCTCCTCCTCACTTGCCCTCTGTGATAGCCTCTAGCTTTGCTGATAATTATGAACTATTGCTATACCTGCTCATTGTGCTGATTACACCCCACTTTGGCTATGGGGGTGTGTCAGAATGTTGTATTTGTCTAGCCTGCAGTGGGGTACTCTATAGCGAGTACAGCCCAATCTAGGGTTTCCCATATGTACTCAACTGCTTGCTAGTGAACCTCCCTCCTTTCTTCATTCTTTCTTTCTACTACTACTTCTGACACCGTCAGCACGTACTCAGGGGCGGCCTAACCAACAGTGCCCACCACCTGCATAAAACACCACCTGCATAAAAGTAGATGGGAGAGGGAGGGGAGCGGGAGGAGAGGGAGGATAGCGCAGGAGGGTTGTGTTTCAAAGGATGTACGCCGGGGCGAGCTTGCCCGTATAGACACATGTGGGGGTGCGTACCTGCATCGACATGCGTGTGTGTTGCCCCCCTCTGGCCCGCTTCTGACTTGTGAATTGACTGAAAGTCAACTGTAGCTCCAAGGCACACAAACCACTCCTAAGTCAAGCGTTTGATGATCTTACCGGAGTGGAAACGTGAGTGTTGTCCCCATCAGGCCCACTTCTCGCCAGCCCAAAATCAGAGAGCTTCCTTTAGGCTGACTTAAACGTCAGGTGTTCGTGCCTGCATGGACACGTGGCTGGTGCTTACCCGGGTAGACACGTGGGTGTTGTCCCCCTCGAGCCCGCTTCTAGAATAGACATGTAAGACGACTCAAAAGTCGGGTGTTCGTGCCTGCATGGGCACGTGGTGGGTGCTTACCCGAGTAGACACGTGTGTGTTGTGTCCCCCTGGGGCCCGCTTCTGTCTTGCAAATTGACTTCAACATCATCCATTGTACATCGCCCCCCAATGGGTGCTTACCCGAGTAGACACGTGGGTGTTGTCCCCTTCAGGTCCGGATTTTGACTTGTGAGTTGACTCAAACATAATTCATTGACCACCCCCCCCCCCCCAATGGGTGCCTACCCTAGTAGACACGTGTGTGTTGTCCCCCTCGGGCCCGCTTCTCGCAAGCCCAAAGTCGGAGAGCTTAGCCTGCCAGTCCTTGGTCAGGAGGATGTTGGACATCTTGAAATCATGGTAGATTATCTGATGCGGTGGAGTGGGATGGGGTGGGGTGGGGTGGGCGGGATAACATTGAGTGCGTGGGATGAGAGCGGGGAAGCAGGCATCAACAAACCGAAACCAGAGAGCTTGGCCTGCCAATCCTTGGTTAACAGGATGTTGCACGTCTTGAAATCACAGTAGATGATCTGATGGGGTGGAGTGCGGTGGAATGGGGTGGGCAAAAGAAGAAGGGTGGGCAATGATGCTGGATGGCAGCAGCAAAAGCTTAAGGGTGTGCAAGCCTAAATAGGATAGAACCTTGGCCTGCCAGTCCTTGGTCAGCAGGATGTTGGACATATTGAAACCACGGTAGATGTTCTCAATCGGGTTGGATGGGGTGGAATGGGGTGGGAGGGGGACGAGGCAAAGGGAAGAGAGGAGGGTTTCGGGTTTAGGAGGAGTGGGGTGACGAGAAACAGGAGAACGTGGAAAGTTTATGAAGCGCCTCAGGATTTAGAGTGATCTGCGTCGACTAGAGGAATCTCCCATTCGAGTCATCTCGTACCCTTCGAGTCATCTCGTATACCTTGAGTCATCTCGTACCCCTCAAGTCGACCAAAAATACATATGAGCCGTTTCAAACGCTTGAGCTTCCTCTGACTCATCTGAAAACTCACCGGCTTCTCCATTTCCTCGTGCAGATACGCCAGGCCCTTTTGAGAAATTTGTCAGCATACATCAGAGTCATCTCAAAGCTCTTGGGACGTACATCTCACTGGCTTCTCCATTTCCTCGTGCAAATACGCAAGGCACTATAAACATTTGAAGCCGACTCCAAGAACATCCTTTGCATCGGCTAAGAAAACGTCTTTTGTGTCAACTAAAACTCCTCAGGGTCATCCCACAACAACTCACCGGCTTCTCCATTTCCTTGTGTAGATACGCCAGGCCCTTTGCCGCCCCGACCGCAATGCCAATCCGCTGCTGCCACATCAGCGGCGTTTCCTTTGCAGGCAGAACGAAGAGTCTTTGCTCGAGGGAGCCGTTGGGCAGATAGGGGTAGACGAGCATGCAGTGGTGGTGGTGCACGCAGTAGCCCACGAGAGAGACGAGGTTGGGGTGGGAGAGATGGGCCACCACGCCGACCTCTGTTAACCACTCGCGCTCACCCTGGTGGGGAAAGGGGAGAGAGAGAGAGGGAGTGGGAGGGAGAGGGGGACATGGGGAGGGGAAGGCGGACAGGGAGGAGATGGGGGAAAGGAGGGGGATCAAGAGGGGTAGACCAGCATGCGGTGGTGGTGGTGGTGGGGGCAGTAACCCACGAGAGAGACGAGGTTGAGGTGGGAGAGGTTGGCCAACAGGCTGACTTCAGTTAATCATTCTCGCTCGTCCTACTGGGGAGGAGAGGGAGAGATGGCGGCAAAGGGGGAGTGGCGGAGAGGGAGAGCGGGAGGGGGAGAGGAGGAGGGGGAGATGGGGAGGGAAGAGGGGGTAGAGGGAGAAGGGAGGGAAGGGATGGGGGAGGTGGGCCATGAGGTGGGCCGTGAGGTGGGCCGTGAGGTGGGCCAACACGCTGACCTCCGACTACCACTCGCACTGGCTCTGGTGAGAGACGGATGTCAGCATGGGAAGGGGAGGGAAGGGGCGACAGAAACGTTGTGGGGGGTAGATTAAGGGAGGGATTCAGGGCGAGAGATGGGCGGGAGATGGGGGGTGGATTAATGAAGCGCAATAGACGAGGGGAGTGATGGGGGGAGGGTCTCAAAGCCCTATATGCTGTGATAGCTATCAGAGCCCTACCTGCTGCCCCTCCGCATTCAGCACTTTCACAGCCACAGGAATCTTGCGCCCGCTTTTCGTGGGTAAGCTCCCCTTGTACACCACGCCGAACCCGCCCTCGCCGATTCTACCCTCCTCCGCAAGTCCCCCCGCCATCTGCAGCACCTGCGTGTACGTGAAGGGAATGAGGGGCGTTGGCGCTTTCCCCTTGCTGCTGCTGCCGGTGCTGCTGGCACTAGCAGCAGCAGATACTGCTGCGTCTATAGCAGCAGAATCAGCAGCGGCAGCGGCGGCAGAAGCAGCAGCACTAGCGGTTGGAGAAGCAGCAGCAGCTGCAGCAGCAGAGGCAGCAGCGGCACCACCAGCGGCTGCGGTTGACGTTGCTTCGGCTACAGTGCTGGTGCTGGCGCTGCTGTCCCCGCTATGGAGTGATCCGTTTTCGTCACCAGCCCTCCCTTTCTGCACTTGATTGTTTCTCTGTGACTGCTGCTGCTGCTGCTCTGACAGTTGCTGTTGCTTCTCTTCACTTCCCTTCTCTCCAAGCCTCCTAAAAGACCCCACATTTCTCTCCCCTCCTCCCCCCATCCCCCGCTCACTCGCCCCCAAGGGGGCGGCGCTGGGGGAAGGCGGAAACATAGCCCGCGCGCCCCCTGCACCGCCCGCGCCCCCCCTGCCCCCCCCGCCACCCGCGCCACCTGCGGGGCTCGCGGGTTGCGCGCTGGACGCGGCCGCTGCTCGCGCAGCGATCGCGCCGCTTGCTGGCAGCGGAAGGGGTACCGCCGCAGTTGCCGTGCCCGCAGCCGTCGGAACACCGGGGGTGCCGGGGACGCCGGCAACGCCGGCAGCGGAGGGCGTGGCGGTAGGAGAGGGAGTGGCGGACCCAACCTGCGCTGCCTGAGCGAGCGCAGCGCCGGCGGCGGTTCGCGGGGAAGCATTTATGGAAGGGTTTTCCGCGGGTTGGATGGCGCCGGGGGAATGCGCGGCGGGGGAGGCGGAAGCCGCGGAAGGGGAGGCGGAATGGGTGGAGGGGGAGATGGAAGATGCGCCGACGGGGATGGAGGATGTGGAGGAGGTGGAAGCGGTGGAGGGGGCGGAGGCGGCGAATGAGGCGGCGGCGGAAGATGCGGGGAGGGGGAGCCGCGCCAATGCATTGGGGGTGCGCAACGGCTGCGCGGCGGACGGCTTCTTCCGCCCGCGCGGACTCTGGAAGCTTCCGCCCGCCGCCACTCCCCGCGGGCTCTGAACGTCGGCTCCTACCTGGACAGGACCTGCTGAAGTGGCGATAGCTGACGTGGCGGCCTTAGGTTCGGGCAGCGGAGCAGCCGGGCTGGGGAGGCGATGCGCGGCGAAAGCGTTAGTAGCAGCACCCGAGGCGCCGACATTGCCGCGCGGACTAGGTGTTACGACAGCTGGAGACGGGAGCGTTAGAACTAGCACCACTAGTAGCAATAGTAGCATTGGTAGTAGCAGACGGAACGAGGATCGTGGGTCCCGCCTGGTTCGGACTTAGCACCGAGGCGGACACCGGTGTTTGCTGAGGTTGCTTTGTAGCAACGTAAGCGAGATCATTGTCACCATCCGATACAGTCACATGAACGGAATCCGCCGGTAGCAACGGCCCGCTGTCAGGAAACGACAACGCGGTGGGGACGGCATTAGGGTTCGGTAGTAGAACGGTTGGATTCGGCAACGCGGAAACTGCTGCGGTTGGGTTCGGTACGAGGGATGGATCTGGCAATGTGGCGGGGTTGGTGGCGATTCCAGTAGGATCTGCTGCGGTGTTGGAAATCTGTCGCTTAAGCGCTCTCGGGCTCTTCCGATCGCTCGGTGCTCTACCAATAGCACTCGGGCTCTTCGCGTCGCTCGGCGTTTTTGAGATTGTCGGGTTCTTCTGTGGTGGGGGTGGGGAAGGATCCCGCGAACTGCCGCCGAAACAAAAACAGCCCATTTCAGACACTCCGAAGACTCAAAAGACGCCGTGACAGCCTTTATTCAACTAAATTCGACTGATATTTCGTGGGAATGTAATGTACTCGAACTGTGCGAGTTTTTCTAAGAAAAGTATTCAGTGGCTCAAAGCGGGAGCCACAAAGACAACCAACGATAGACGCAGGCATACGTACTTGCTACTACACTGCAAGTTCCGTACGAGCTACCCTGAAGCGCGATAAGTTCCACCTCGCATGGTCTGGGATTCTAGCGACGCGTAACTATGCTGCTGCTCAAACACGTGCCTACAGGAAAAAGCTGGAGTTTCAACCACAGCTCCGCTCAGCAAGAAAGCCATATCTCCAGCTTTAGAAACTCAGCCGCTTTTGAGAAACCCGAGTCTGGGTGATTGTCTCTCTGCGGGACCGAGAGCTACACTGTGATCTGTATTTACTAGCTGTCCTTTCTTGGAGGGAGAGAGACTTAATATGGTTATATTATTGCAGTCTAAGCATTTTGTCTGACTATTAGGCTGGTTATTCGCCTGTAATGTGGCCGTGCTTTGCACCCTCAATTTTAAGTGCCGTGCTAAAACTCGGAACCTAACCGCAGGATGTGTGAGATTCCTTCGACTCGGACGCAGCAAACACGCTTCGCTAAGCGAACACAACTTTGTGTGTTTCGAGACAAAATTCCTGGCCCCACCGTCCCCACCGCAAGTACAGTGCTTTATTCAAAACCATCCCGACAGGGGGTATGAGTGGCAGACAAGAAGGCACAACTTGACTCGCGGAAGATATAGTATCGACGACCAGCCTCTCACAAGTTGAAGTGGCCTGGCCGCCTGGCATCGATAAAATATGGTGGACAGAGGGGCAGCGTAAGGGCGTGTCTCCTTTTTGCTCCCGACGGTTAGAACCGTGGACCGTCCGATTTGCGAACATGTTACCCGTTTCGCCATTTGTCGTGACTATTTCTGTTGAAAGTAATGAACGAGAATGAATGAACAAGCACAGAGTTGGGTACAAGTACTAACCCTAATTGGGTTGTACCTCTTATGGGCTGCCCCACTATAGCCTACTCAAATGTAAGCACTATAATGTTCTGACACACCCCCATAGGCAAAGTGGGGGAGAACAAGGGAGGGTCACAAGACCAGTCAAGAAAAGCAAAGCAAGCTCAGGGTGGATCACAAAGTCACCACACAATCCGAGCACAAGCAAAGGGCCACAAGGCCAGTTCACATGCAGTGTTATATAAAGAGAACAAACAAGACAGTGATCATACCCTAGCAAGTGTAAGCATGCAGGTATATATATAGATCACAGTACAAGCAGGGTCAAGCAATGAGTAAGTGAGGCAAAGTAGGCACAAGGCCTAACACAGTAGAGAAGCGCTGATGATCACCAGGCGGAAGTGCCTTGGTGAATATATCAGCAGTGTTGGCCCTAGTGGCCATGTACCCAAGACGAAGCTGGCTACGCTGCTGCAACTCTCGAACAAGGAAGTATCGCAGAGCGATGTGCTTCATTCTGTGCTCCAGTCTGTGCTCCTGACACAAGGCAATCATGGCCTTGTTGTCTACGTACAGAACTGGAGGCAAACGAGGCTGCTCTCCCAAGTCAGTGAGCAGGTAGGTGAGCCAGCATACCTCCTGTGCAGCCATGGCCTCGGCGTAGATCTCAGCCTCACAACTGGAGCTGAGAACCGAAGACGAGCGGGTAGACCGCCAGGAAATTGAGCCAGAGCCAAGGCTGAAGGTGTAAACCTGTGAAGACCGCTGCGTAGCTGAGTCGTCAACCCAGGAAGCGTCTGTGTGACCGGTGAGGACAACTGGACCCCGTCCTCCAAGCACGAGCCCCATGCCTGATGTACTGCACAAGTAGCGCACTACCCTCTTCGCAGCATCCCAGTGCACCTTTCGGTGCCTACCGGGAGCCACATAGCGAGCCAGAAGGCTGAGAGGGTACGCGAGGTCAAGTCGAGTGCACTTCATCAGGTACATGAGGCAACCCACAAGCTCTGGGTATGGACCACTCGGCTCTACGGACTCGTCCGAAGGTGGAGCTGAGAGCGAGTGGCTGGTAGACAGAGGAGTGGGCTGTGGCGAGGAGAACTGGAAACCGAAGCGCTGAAGGACCTAGTGCACCATGTGTGACTGAGTCAGGGTAATGGTGCGCCGAGCTCTGTCCCGGGTGATCTGCAAGCCAAGATAGCTGCGCAGATCACCCAGGTCAGTGCAGGTGTGTCTCTTTTACAGCACGAGGAGATCTGGCTTCGCTGCCCACCTGGCTTCACTGGGTCGTTTCCTGCAGGTACCCAGTAGAGCCACCGGCGGCCAGTCTACGGTCTCCGCCAGGCGCCTCGCGAGTGGCACGACACACTGAGGACTACACTTGCGGCTCTTGGGTTTACTCCTTCTACTGCTGACCCGTCGCTGTTTCTACGCACCGACACATCGCTGCCGCCGTTCTACGTTCTCGTGTACGTCGATGACCTGGTCTTTGCCACTGCTGACACTGAGGCACTGACCCTTGTGAAGTCGGAGCTGCAGAAGAGACACACCTGCACTGACTTGGGCGAACTGCGCAGCTATCTTGGCTTGCAGATCACCCGGGATAGAGCACGGCGCACCATCACCCTGACTCAGTCACACATGGTGCACCGGGTCCTTCAGCGCTTCGGCTTCCAGTTCTCCTCGCCACAGCCCACTCCTCTCTCTACCGGCCACTCGCTCTTAGCTCCACCTTTGGACGAGTCCGTAGAGCCGATTTGTCCGTATCCAGAGCCTGTGGGTTGCCTCATGTACCTGATGACGTGAACACGACCTGACCTCGCGTACCCTCTCAGCCTCCTGGCTCGCTACGTGGCTCCTGGTAGGCACCGAAAGGTGCACTTGGATGCTGCGAAGAGGGTACTGCGTTACTTGTGCAGTACGTCGGGCATGGGGCTAGTGCTTGGAGGACGGGGTCCAGTCTTCCTCACTGGTCACGCAGACGCTTCTTGGGTTGACGACTTGGCTACGCAGTGGTCGTCACAGGATTACACCTTCAGCCTCGGTTCCGGCTCTGTTTCCTGGCGGTCTACCCGCTCCTCTTTGGTTCTCAGTTCCAGTTGTGAGGCTGAGATTTACGGAGGGGCCATGGCTGCACAGGACTTACGCTGGCTCACCTACCTGCTGACTGACTTGGGAGAGCAGCCTCGTTCGCCTCCACTTCTGTACCTAGACAACAAGGCCATGATTGCCTTGTGTCAGGAGCACAGACTGGAGCACATAACGAAGCACATCGCTCTGCGATACTTCCTTGCTCGAGAGTTGTAGCAGCGTGGTCAACTTCGTCTTGCGTACGTGGCCACTAGGGCCAACACTGCTGATATATTCACCAAGGCACTTCAGTCTGGTGATCATCAGCGCTTCTCTACTATTTTAGGCCTTGTGCCTACTTTGCCTCACTTGCTCACTGCGTGACTTTGCTTGTAATGTGATCTATATATATACCTGCATGCTTACTCTTGCTAGGCTATGATCACTGTACTGTTTGTGCTCTTTATACAACACTGCACGTGAACTGGCCTTGTGGCCTTTGTTTGTGCCCGGAATGTCTGGTGACTTTGCGATCCACCCTGAGCTTGCTTTGCTTTTCTTGACTGGTCTTGTGACCACTTGTTCTCCCCCACTTTGCCTATGGGGTTGTGTTTAAATGTTACATAGCTTACTTTGTGTAGGCTGTAGTGGGGTAGCCCATAAGGGGTACAACCCAATTAGGGTTAGTACTTGTACCAACTTTCTGCTCAATGCAATTCATTCTCGTTCATTCCTTTGACAGCATCTGCGCAGCTTGCGAACGCTATAGAAGGGCGTTTAGCCAGCGTTGCAACTGCAGATGACAATAGCGCACGCGCGCACCCGCTTCATAGGTGCTTGTAGGTGGTTGAGCACATTGTGCCTCGTCCCGCCTGTCGCGCAGAAGCCAAGTCGGCCACGTGCCGACAATTGCGCTAGATGCTCTACGTCGACCTCGGGATACCAGCCCGTAGGTTGAATTCGCCAATGCCTTCGACGGCAAAGCTCGCGCGCTTGCGAAGCTTCGCCGTCAAGCAGCTCCTCTCGACGGGCTTGTCGACCAGATCTCGTCCAGCAGGGCCTTCTCGACCCCCAATTCCGTCGACCAAGTTATTTGGTCAACCGGTTCTGAAGTCGGCGACACCTTGGCAGGCAATAGGAGCCCGCTAACTGCTGTACATGCTCATTGACCACCCTGGTCGACACTGTCCGCCGACTTTCCCATGTCGGCGGTCCACAGGTCGACGAACTTCTCCATCGACCACCCAGGTTGAAGTCTGACGCTGGTCTCCTTCGTCGGCGGTTTCGCAGAGGTCCCGCGAAGTTCGACCAACTCCATCGACCTGCTTGCCCAAGTCGGCGGCGACCTTTACGGGCAGTCAGGTGCACCTTCCGCGCACCCGACAGCGTAGTCAGTTTCGCCCAAGCAAGGGCGGGGCCATCTACCGTCAATATTTACAAGTGGGCTCCCTTTCGTGCAATGCGAATGGTTGAGGGGAGTGGAGAGAGGGGGGTGGTGGTCCCTCTACCCGATAGCAAATTCCCCTAGTTGTTTCCGCCCTTCCGCGGACTCTTCCCCCAACCCATGAGTCAACACGAAAATGGGTTGGATTCACGTGCCCTATGTGAGTTCATCGCTCCTGTGTTTCAGAAACCTGTTGACCTTGCTTTCCAATCAGGCCACGTGAAAAGGGTGTGTATCAACAATGCCCTCCGAAAACGCCACTTTGAATGTATACTGCCACCTTAAAGCTCATGTCTCATTTTTCCAAACATTTAACACTTGTTTGGGACTGCTCTTTAATGATTGGGTGATGAACGACGAAAATTGTTACGAGCAGGCATAAAGATGGCGGTGAAAACCCATACCATTGAGGCCAAAACACAACATTTAGGACAGGGTTGGATCTAAGCCATGCCTCGTTGGACAGGTTTGTGATTTGTGCGACAAACCCCTACGACCAACAAACAAAGTGCGGTTGAGAGAAGTGACTAGTAAAGCGCATGTGTGTGTTGCAAAGCAATCGTTCTCCGTCTAGTAGTAGTAGCTACATTGCCATCTGTCCTTCATTAGGTGACTCAAACCTTCGACATAACAAACCTTGAGAGCGTAGACGACTAGCATCGTGTCTGAGATCTAGTCATCACCGCCTTTTGCATCCTCAGCCACATCATCGTGGACCATAGTGCTGCGTCGTCACTGACGCCTTCGCAAGCTATCTACATGTGAGCGTAAACACCACCCTGCAGGCCGTGACGCACTCCAGTGTTTAGAACAACCAGTAGCTGGGAATAGGATTGTTGGCAACGGGGACTGCTGCCCCAACGCTGGGTGATAACCCAGGGTGGAATGGCAGTTGATGACGGAATGAGAGGCGGAATGACCATTTAGGGCAGAATGAGAGGCGGAAAGTCGGTAAATGGCGGAATGAGAGGCGGAATGGCGGTAGATGGCAGAATTAGAGGCAGAATGGCGGTTTAGGGCAGAATGAGAGGCGGACTGGTGGTAGATTTCGGAATGAGAGGCGGACTGGCGGTTGATGGCGGAATGAGAGGCGGTATGTTGGTTTAGGGCGGAATAAGAGGCGGACTGGCGGTAGAGGGCGTATGAGAGGCGGACTGGTGGTAGATGGCGGAATGTGAGGCAGACTACCGGTAGATGGCGGAGTTAGAGGCGGAATGGCGGTTTAGGGCGAAATGAGAGGTGGAATGTCGGTAGATGGCGGAATGAGAGGCGGAATGGTGGTAGAGGGCGGAATGAGAGGCAGAATCGCGGTAGAGGGCGGAATGAGAGGCGGAATGTGGGTAGATGGCGGAATGAGAGGCACTGGGGGAAGGGACATGCTGGTATGTTGGAAGGGAGGAGATGGCATGGGGGAAGAGACATGCTGGTTTGATGGAGGGGAGGAGATAGCATGGGGGAAGGGATATGCTGGTGCGATGGAAGGGAGGAGATGGAGTGGGGGAAGGGATATGCTGGTGCGATGGAAGGGAGGAGATGCATGAGGGAAGGGATATGCTGGCATGCAGGAAGGGAGGAGATGGCATGGGGAAGGGATATGCTGGTACGTTGGAAGGGAGGAGATGCATGAGGTGAGCTCACCTAGGGGAAGGGAGGTGAGGTCAGGGGGTGGAGGGACCTGTAATTTAGAGGGGGGTGGGTTGTGCAGTGCGGGGGGAAGGGGAGGTGAGGTCAGAGGGGGAAGGGAGGAGATGGCAGAGGGGGAAAGGAGGTGGGGTCAGAGGGGAGAGGGTTCTGCCATCAGAGGGGGAAGGGAGGTGAGGTCAAAGGGGGAGGGGAGATGATGTCAAAGGGGGATAAGAAGATGGGTCAGATAGTGAAGGGAGGTGAGGTCGGAGGGGGAAGGGTTGTGGGACGAGAGGGGGAAGGGAGGTGAGTCAGGGGGGTAAGGGAGATGAGGTCAGAGGGGGACCGGGAGGGGAGGTTAGAGGGGGATAAGAAGATGGGTCAGATAGGAAAGGGGGGTGGGTCGGATTAGAGGGGGAGGGGAGGTGCTGTGAGAGGGTAAAGGGGGTGCTGGCAGATAGTGAAGGGGGTGATGTCAGAGAGGAAAGTGCCGTGAGGTCAGAGGGGGATAAGAAGTTGGTTTCAGATAGTGAAGGGAGGTGAGGTCGGAGGGGGAAGGGTTGTGGGATCATAGGGGGAAGGGAGGTGAGGGGAAGGGATGAGAGGTTAGATAGGGAAGGGAGGTGAGGTCAAAAGGGGGAGGGGGGTGAGGTCAAAAGGGGGAGGGAGGTGAGGTCAGAGGGGGAAGAGAGGTGCTCAGAGACGGTGAAGGGAGGTGAGGTCAGAGGGGGAAGATAGGTGCTTAGTGAGGGTGAATGGAGGTGAGGTCAGAGGGGGAAGAGAGGTGAGGTCAGATGAGGGAGGTGGTCGGGTTAGAGGGGGAGGGCCCTTGTGTCAAGCTAGGCCCTCCCAGCTCCCTAACAACTGAAACACCCAAACATCACTACCTCTGCCCTGCTCTATGTCCCATGCTGCAGGGTGCCTGAAGATGTATCCCTGGGATTATTGACGGCGTCGTAGGGTCCAGCTGGGGTTTAGGGTGGGAATTGAAGGAGAAGAGGATGACGAGGAGGGTATGGAGGGATAGGCGGTTGAAACCTTCTCTGAGTCATCCGAAACCTCTAGGGACAACAATGGTGTACCCAGTCGCTCAGTGGTTGCTAGGAGTTGGCGGCCCGTTCAAAGCGTGACCCGACGTAGGGTGGTACAGCCAACGGGAATGCTGCCACAGCTTTTCTATTCTAAGGAATGCTGGTCACTCGCAGAATTTGCCATTGAATGTCCAAAGCAAAGCCATGTGCTTGAAAATTGGGCCATAAATGAGCTTGGTTTGATGCAACAGAGTGGTGATACGGACGAGAGGGTTACTATTGAGAGTGTCCTGCGTATCTGTCTTGGAAAGAACACGACAAAGGATAAAGATGGGCATCCTATAGTAGCTAAAAATCACCGCTTTCATTGCTACGTTGAGTATTCTGAACTGTTAGGGGACCACCCATTTGCACACGTTACACTGCCATGGCTGGTGTATGTTGTCATAGGGTCACTTTATCCGGAAGGTTATGTAGGGTGTAGCCAGACAGATGTAGATTGGTTCATGTCATGGACAATCCCTAGCGAGATCACCTTCACCATGAGCAGCCCATATGGGAGCGCGGCGGAAGCGAACATGGTCGATACACAAGAGTCGCGAGTTGGGTGAATATGCCTGTTGTAACTGTTGTGTTTGTAATAGCTTGCCATTACGTTTATGTGACAATGAACCACCTACTCGGATATATACTCAACGTATTTCCAAATGCTTATAAGGGTAGAACGCACATGCAGTAACATGATGTATTGTCATCTGTTTGCAAGGGTGACTGCTGAAACATCGCAAGGCCTGTTCTCGTGGGGTTCTAATAAATAATGGCACTATATGGGGCGGATCAAAAGCAGACGACCAATGCTTGATGTGATGCATTACAACACAATGGGAACGCATAGACATACGTAACCTGTGCACTTGTCACCCCCTTGATGTAGAGCGCAAAGCGTCGTGCTTCAACAAAGAAGTTACAAGTGGCGCCACAAAGCCCCATGTCAATAATTTCTAGCTTTGCTTCGGTGTTGGCAAGTTGTAAAACAACTGTAAATGGGCCCGTATGTCTCCAGCCCACTATCTCCTTCCACACTCGCCACCACGCCGTTCTCGCCATCCCAATACTCTGCTGCCTCTGCCGCCGCCTCTCTGCTGCCCTGCTCTCTGCTTTGCCGCACTCTGATAGGGAGGTGAGAGGACATGCGGGAGGTGATGGCAGCAAGGACGGGAGGAGATGGCGAAGGGGGAAGGTAAGGTGATGGCATGGGGAGTGGTATGGGATGGAAGGGGGAATGAAAAGTGACCGCAAGGGCGTGATGAGAGTGTGGAGTATGGGAAGGGAGGTGACGGCAAATGGGAGTGAGTGGGGAAGGCAGACGGGGGAAGGGACGTGATGGCACTTGGGGGAAAGGGGAAAAGAAGGGTGAAGGCACTTGGTGGGGGGAAGGGATGTGATGGCACTCGGTGGGGGGAATGGGATAATGAGTGTAGATTCTAACAATGGTGATGGCAGGGGGGGAAGAGAGGATATGGGAGGTGATGGGAAGGGGAGATGAGTGATGGCAAAGGGGGATGCGAGGTGATGGCATTGGGAGATGGAAGGTGATGGCAGTGGGAGATGAATGGTGATGGCAAGGGGGGATGAGAGGAGATGGCAGAGGGGGGTAAGATGAGATTGTGACACTGTCAGGTGGGGATGAAAAGATATGGCAAAGGGGGATGAGAGGAGATGGCAAGAGGGATGGGTGGAGATGGCAGAGGGGGAAACGAGGTGATGAGAGGAGATGGCAGCTTGTATATGGATGTTTGCAAGACTTGTATATAGATGTTTGCAAGCTTGTATTCGAACACCTCCCGCATGGACTTCATGCTTACGGCGGATGGATCGTGTCGACTAAATTGGGGATGGGACAATCACATCCCACATAGGTCAGACATCATCTAAATAAACAAACTGATACAGATAGGGATCTAGAAGAAGAATCACAATTATGGTCATTAAACGCTGCAACACTAACCAAATGCTAGAGTTTGTCGAACTCCATTGAGGCGCGCGTTGTTGATGGCACGATGCCGTGTATGTGCCCACGAAGCGGAATCACACATGCTTGCAGGGCTCATGAACGTGAATGCATCATGTGTTGGGGTTGCCGGTGAAAATGGGGCGCGTGACGGAGCACAACTTCCGGCTCGAGATGGCGTCGGGGGAAGTAGAATGGGAGTGGAATCAAGATGAGGCGCCTCGTTCCCGTCCCGTAGGGGCGTCCCCAACCCCACCGCAACCTCCTCTATCTCCTCGGGAACCACCTCGAATCCTACCACGTCCGCTCCGTCCCCCTCCGCCTCCTCCTCCACCTCCTTCCCCACATTCACTTCCCCAACCCGTGCCTCTCCCTCTAGCTCCTCGGCTCCAATGCCCCCTGCTTTGCCCCCACACGCTCTTAGTTTAGACCATCGCTCCAATACCTCATCCACCCAACGCCAATCCATTGGACCAAACACCCTATCTTTCATCCCATGCCACACTCGTGTTACCTTGCGTACGCGTGTTCTCCACTCCCTGACAACCCTCTCCACCGCGTGGTTCCAATGAAGCACACTCAACGCCACCCGAGCCTCCTCACTGCCAAGGAATGCTATACGTATCGGTGCATACTTTGTGATCAATGAGTGAAATGACCCATTCACCCTGTTTGAGGCCCCTAGAACGTATTCTTCCATAAGACATGGGCCACAATTGACCAAAAGCCACTCCTTGAATGCCAGGTGAGTCACCGAACCCGGTTCATACAGCGCACTTTCCTCACTCCAGCGTTCCCTAACACAACGTGGGACCACGCCATCTCGCTGATAGTGGGTGTGTATGTCTGCCCAATGGTCTTTGCACCTCCCAATCTCATCAGCCACTTCTTCAGGTGTCATAGGATGACCTGCTTTTGCTTTGATTGCATTTCGCATCATGCAATGGTGAAAACGAATACAAAAGCGCTGACCTCCTGACACATCCGCCTTGTCACCATCTGTGTCCTCACTGCTACATCCAGCCACTACAGGCTCCATCGCCACTGCAGGCTTCCCTACCACTGCAGGCTCCCCTGCCACTGCAGGCTCCCCCAGCACTCCAGGCTCCCCAGCCACTGCAGGCTCCCCCGCCACTGCAGGCTCCCCCGCCACTGCAGGCTCCCCCGCCACTGCAGGCTCCCCCGCCACTGCAAGCTCCCCCGCCACTGCAGGCTCCCCCGCCACTGCAGGCTCCCCTGACACTCCAGGCTCCCCCGACACTCCAGGCTCCCCTGCCACTGTAGCCCCCCCCCCGACACTCCACGCTCCCCTGCCACTCCAGCCTCTTCGGCCACTCCAGGCTCCCCCGTCTGATCGCGCACCATCTCTGGACCTAACTCCGCATCGCCTGAACGTGCCCAACAAAATGTGCAACAAAGTAGGGACGAATCGATCTTGCATCAGTTGAATGAGATCTCTGACCATTTTGAGATACAAACTCACCACGAGTCATCATGTCGATGTCCTCTAGGTGGAACAGAGCCTCGGCGAATCCCTGATGAATTCATGGGTAATGTCATCCCGGGCAGCATGCGTGGGATGCGGATCAAAGTCAAATGGTGTATCAACATTGACCCACTTGATCCCCAGAATCGAAGAGAACTCGTCTGCTTCCCCCTCAGAAGCACCCAGTTTGTGGCACCCCTCTGCACCATCGGCATTGCCATTATCTCCTCCAGCACCTCTATGATCATGCTGCACTCCCCCCCCCTTCGCTCTCCAAGCCCCTTCGTCGTTTGGCTGATGGTTCAACCGAATTCGCCCTAACTTTCAACACCTTCCGCAGTTCCACAAATGCCTATTTTTGTGCAGCTTTTGCTGATGCATCAAACTGAATAGTCCCCAATTTTGCACACACATGGTGGATCAATGTTTTTTAGCAGACCACAAGCTCACATCTTTCCCCACACCTTTGTTTAGAGTCAACCACTCCAACAACTCCTTATGTGAAACCACCACAACCCGGAACATGATTTGGCCTTATCCACCGTCATGGTACTGCGTTGTGCATCCACAAAGTCTTCCACAAACAACCTTGTCAATGTTCGACCTTTGTGCAAGACGCCCATCTAATGGTTGATAACTGTACCAACTAATGCCTTCTTGAATGACGCTCCATCGTCACTTATGATCCCGGATAACTTTTCCTCTTCCTTTTTACAAACCGTAACAGTAAACAAAATCTTCCGTGATCATGGATCCATGAAAGTGACAGTGCACCATTGCGCCTCCCGTGCCTGTGACTAGCGACCATCTACGCGAATGTACTCTTCTCCTTTTTCGGGTCGCAACTGCATGTCTCGGCGAGCTCTAGCCATGCTCCCTTCCCTATGGACGATGATAGCCCACCACAAACCGTACGGGCGCCACATGTGATGATAGAAAGTCTCCCTCCCAATAGACCTAAACCCAAGTGTCCGACTAAAGTCCGAGAACTGCTGGAAGCCCAATCGCAGGAATAGTAAGGATGTATTCGTGACTTTGCCCTTGGCGACTTATCCATTTTCAGTAGACCTGTGAGAGTACGACGACTTTACTGGACTTTACTTGCTTGATTCTGCTTTATTATGCATTATCTAGCTTAGCTTTATTTTATCTTGCGTGCATTTGCTTATTTTCCTAGGTTCGTTGCTTTACTATATTTATTATACTTATAGGCACCGAAATAGGTTGAGTGCACCGAATTCTAGGATTTTCGGTTGCCACCGAATTGCCTTCTACCGAATTCGGGAAGGACCCATTCGGGACCCTTCGCGACCCACAGAACCTTCTAGTAGCACCCGGGTTACTGCCTTTGTGTCGAGCCTATATATAGCCTCACCTTGTACCGGGGTGAATCATTCAATAGATTTCTCTTTCCTGAACCAGATCCTCACACTTGGTATCAGAGCGGGTTTACGCGCGAGGTATTCAACCGCTTATAACCGGCCTTTAAAAACCGCAGGGGTGACGACGAAAGCGCCAATACGGGTAAGTAAAACCAGTTCCGCGCAATTTTTCTTATGTCAAGAGAATGAACGAGAATGTATGAACTATGAAACAGTTGGGTGCAAGTACTAGCCCTAATTGGGTTGTACCCCTTATGGGCTACCCCACTACAGCCTACACAAATGTAAAAGCTATAATGTTCTGACACACCCCCATAGGCAAAGTGGGGGAGAACAAGTGGTCACAAGACCAGTCAAGAAAAGCAAAGCAAGCTCAGGGTGGATCACAAAGTCACCACACTGTCCGAGCACAAGCAAAGGGCCACAAGGCCAGTTCACATGCAGAGTGATATAAAGAGAACAAACAATACAGTGATCATATCCTAGCAAGTGCAAGCATGCAGGTATATATATAGATCACAGTACAAGCAGAGTCAAGCAGTAAGCAAGTGAGGCAAAGTAGGCACAAGGCCTAACACAGTAGAGAAGCGCTGATGATCACTAGGCGGAAGTGACTTGGTGAATATATCAGCAGTGTTGGCCCTAGTGGCCACGTACGCAAGACGAAGCTGGCTACGCTGCTGCAACTCTCGAGCAAGGAAGTATCGCAGAGCGATGTGCATTGTTCTGTGCTCCAATCTGTGCTCCTGACACAAGGCAATCATGGCCTTGTTGTCTAGGTACAGAACTGGAGGCGAACGAGGCTGCTCTCCCAAGTCGGTCAGCAGGTAGGTGAGCCAGCGTAGCTCCTGTGCAGCCATGGCCCCGGCGTAGATCTCAACCTCACAACTGGAGGTAAGAACCGAAGACGAGCGGGTAGATCGCCAGGAAATTGAGCCAGAGCCAAGGCTGAAGGTGTAACCCTGTGACGACCGCTGCGTAGCTGAGTCGTCAACCCAGGAAGCGTCGGCGTGACAATGAGGACAACTGGACCCCGTCCTCCAAGCACGAGCCCCATGCCCGACGTACTGCACAAGTAACGCAGTACCCTCTTCGCAGCATCCCAGTGGACCTTTCGGTGCCTACCGGGAGCCACGTAGCGAGCCAGACGGCTGAGAGGGTACGCGAGGTCAGGTCGTGTGCACGTCATTGTTATGTGATGCTATCATTTGCATTCACGTCTGTCTGCCTCCCATCATATGTTCGTGTGTTGCATGCGTGGTGTGAGCGTGTGTAAGAATGTGCGTTTGGTGTTGTTTTGGTTTTTCTGAGTGTGTGTGAATGTTATTTGGCTTGAGCAGATATCTGAAGTGACTCCTCTGCTCAAGAGCTTTCCGACGAACCAAGTATCGCTTCAATCGGAGCACGAACAAGAAAGTTACGAACGTTGGAAGTTCGTATGCTTTTGATATTTGGTTGTGGTGACTATGGGAAGTTGTGGTGTTGACTCCATAAGGAGTACAGACTCTTGGGGGTTGGGAAATTCGTCAACATCACTGTAGATGCTGCCAAGTGGTTGGGAGGTGCCAAACCAGGTTGGCAAGTGTGGCCAAGTTGGGTGAGGTGGATGGCATGAGTTGGGAAAGTGACAAATGTCAAAGTTGGGGTGCCTATAGAGAGAGGAATTGTGTGGTATGGGGTGTCCTTGGTTGGGGACTTCCTTGGGACCTTCCCTCTCGTCCTCCTCATCCCCTCCTACCTGGTTCTATTGCTACTCTAACTTTCTTGTGTGAACTTGTGAGATTATTGTTATTGAGTTACGTTTTCTATGGCAGCATACCCCCTAGTGCGCCGAAGTTCATAACTCGAGTTATACTCCATATTTTGATACTATTCAAATTGGGAAAGATAGCCACGGTGAAGGGCTACAACATACTCGAGTTGGAGAGAATTCTAATCGTGCGTTAATCGTCGACGACGTTTCTTGTGACGACGACTTTTCTGTCCTGAATTATAGTTGACGATTTTAAGATATTTCGGCCCTTAATCTTCATAGACTCCGTCCTTAGTCTCTAACAGTCATCAGGTACATGAGGCAACCCACAAGCTCTGCGTACGGACCACTTGGCTCTACGGACTCGTCCAAAGGTGGAGCTGAGAGCGAGTGGCTGGTAGACAGAGGAGTGGGCTGTGGTGAGGAGAACTGGAAACCGAAGCGCTGAAGGACCTGGTGCACCATGTGTGACTGAGTCAGGGTGATGGTGCGCCGTGCTCTGTCCCGGGTGATCTGCAAGCCAAGATAGCTGCGCAGTTCACCCACGTCAGTGCAGGTGTGTCTCTTCTGCAGCTCCAACTTCACAAGGGTCAGTGCCTCAGTGTCAGCAGTGGCAAAGATGAGGTCGTCGACGTAGACGAGGACGTAGAACGGCGGTAGCGAGGTGTCGGTGCGTAGAAACAGCGACGGGTCAGCTGTAGCAGGAGCAAACCCAAGAGCCGCAAGTGTAGTCCTCAGTGTGTCGTGCCACTCGCGAGGCGTCTAGCGGAGACCGTAGACTGGCCGCCGGAGGCTCCACTGAGTACCTACAGGAAAAGACTCATAGTCTAGAGAGTGCAACTCATAGTCACGCTGAGCAGCGACGTGCAGCAACACCCGAAGAGTAGTCATCTTCGGGGTGGGAGAGAAGGTCTAGAAGTAGTCAACTCCCTGTCGCTGACTGAAACCTCGAGCGACGTAACGCGCCTTGAAGGCAGGCGGAGAACCCGGCGGCCGCTTCACCCTGAAGATCCACATGCCATCGACTATGTTCGCCCAAGGTGGGGGAACCTCATCATCGTAGGTGCCTGTGGACTTCTAGGATGCCATCTCGGCATCCATGGCTGCCTGCCAGTGAGAGGAGTGAGGACCCGTAATCGCCTCTGCGTAAGAGCGCGGGGTCGGGATGTCTGGTGCATCCGGGTCTCCCTCAGGGGCAAGCAGCATGGATGCGAAACGAGGTACAGCAGCTGCAAGATGCTCAAAGTCCTCCTGCCTGTCCTCAAGGACGTCCATGCCAAGAGCACACTCACCCCCGACGGACGGAGGACTGGCAGACGCAGATTCAGAAACAAGAGCAATGGTGTAGTCTAGACGGCAGGCAACAGTAAAGTCAAGCAGCTCAGCAACGAGAGCAGACGCAACAACAGACTCAAAAGAAGGGTCTGTGACAGCAGTGGCGAGGAGACGAGAGACTGTGGGACTGGCAGCACGAGCGCGGTCAGACTCAGGGTCAGGGACCTCAGGAAGAGAGGACTCAGGAGGAGCAGGAAGAGGAACACGCTGTGGAACAGAGGAAGGACGTAGTGCCATAGCGTGCGTGCCGGGGACAGGAGGAGGACGCGAACGAGGAACGCGACGAGCAGTGCGAACAGGCGAGACAGGGCAAGACGCAGGCTCACGACGCTCTGTAAGACCACCGGACTGCTCAGTGTAAGGAGAGGGAGCTGGCAGTGGAGAGGCTGGCTGTAACGGCGGCTGCGACTGGTCAGGCGGTGGACACAGGAGGGGAGGAGTAAGGGCACTAGAAGACGGGACTCCAAGAACCTGCTGAAGCAGGG